TTAGAGACAGACAACCAAGCACACTCACATTCACACCTACGGACAATTTAGAATCACCAATTAACCTCAACATGTTTTTGGACTGTGTAGGAGGAAGTTGGAGAACCCGGAGAGAACCCACGCTGCACGGGGAGAACATGGAGACTCCACGCAGAAAGATTCCGGTGCCACAAGGACGCGAACCGGCGACCTTCTTGCTGCGAGGCAGCAGCGCTAACCAACTGCACCACCTTGCAGCTCATTAGGAGATGATACTGAAAAATAGTTATTGTAATTGTATAATATAATTGACATGTTAATGAGGCTTCCTTGCAGTTTCTTATTGTTAGGAACTCTGTTTATCACTAATGAAGGATTTACTAAAAGACAAACTTATTTTATTTTTACGTGGACATTTTTTTTTAGGCCTCAACTGTTTGAAGCTAACTGTTGCTTCGCAGCAAGAAGGTTGCTGGTTCACGTCCCAGTGGGGGCACCGGAATCTTTCTGCGTGGAGTTTGCATGTTCTCCCCGTGCAGCGTGGGTTCTCTCCGGGTTCTCCAACTTCCTCCCACACAGTCCAGAAACATGTTGAGGTTAATTGATGATTCTAAATTGTCCGTAGGTGTGACTGTGAGTGTGCTTGGTTGTCTGTCTCTAAGTGTGGCCCTGTGATAGACTGGCGACCTGACCAGGGTGTCCCCTGCCTTCGCCCTAAGTCGGCTGGGATAGACTCCAGCCCCCCATGACCCTAGTGAGGATTAAGCGGTGTATAGATAATGGATGGAGTTATTGTAATTGTATAATATAATCAACATATTAATGAGGCTTCCTTGCAGTTTCTTATTGTTAGGAGCTCAGTTTAACACTAATGAAGGATGTACTAAAAGACAAACTGTTATTTTATTTTTACATGGACATTTTTTTTTTAGGCCTCAACTGTTTGAAGCTAGTAGAAAGATCTTTTTGTTCACATTGCTGAAACTTTTAGTAGAAAATATTCAGTGCAAAGAACAAATTCTGCACTTAAATCTGTTAAATTTGAACAGTTTTGTTTAAAGCAGTGACTCCACTTTCTCAGGTGATATGATCAGAGACTCATTTTTGCCTGATGTGTTTGACTTTCAGGTGTTTTAAACGTCTTCTGAGTGTGTCAAGTGTTCCTGTTTTTTTATGATCAGTCAAAATCTGACAAAAGGTGGTGAAGTCAAACTTAACTGGTGTGTGTGAATCAGAACCACTCCAGGTTCACAATATCACACTAATGATCTTGATGCTGCACTTTATACACCAGTAC